TACTCCCACCCAACTTGGTGTCATCTGCAAGGTTACTGAGGGAACACTCGATCCCCATCCAGATCATCAACAAAGATATTAAATAAGACCAGCCCCAAAACTGAGCCCTGGGGAACACTACTTGTGACTGGCCGCCAACTGGATTTAACTCCATTCACCACAACTCGGAGCTCAGCCGTCCAGCCGAACATGAACATGTAAGCAAACCAGAACAGTGGCAAGAAGACAGGGTTGAACTTTCAATGGTTTGTTTGCGAGCTTAAAAAAAAAGTGGATTTTCAGTAACTTCAGCTGTTCAAGTAACACCATCAATATATAGTAGCAGAACATATGTAATTATAGAGATAATCTTGCTCATAAGTATTAACCTTCCTTTTCTTTTTTTGTTTGTTTTTTGTAGGTGTGAGGTTTTTTTCTTACTCCACCAGCATATTCAACCTGTTCATGATGCCCTACATCATGCTCAAAACTGGTATTGGATTTGAAAGTCTGTTTATACAAGCTGCCTTTTATGGGTTGATCGGGTTTTTTACATTTGTAACACCGGTTACTTTGCATGTCCTTACAAAAGGCTATGTGATTCGACTCTACTATAAAGATGAAATGGACACGTATACAGCCATTACATACAATGCGATCTTGGCAGAAAAAGCGACTGTTTTTCATCAGAAGGATGTAAAGATTCCGGACATCACCAAGATGTTTACAACATTTTACGCTAAAACGAAATCGATGCTTGTTAATCCGATGCTTTTCCCAAATCCTCAGGATTATAACCATCTCATGGGCTATGACAAATCCTTTTATTTTAACTTAGAGGAGGAGAAGGAAGCTGATGAAAGAAAATAATTTGAAAATAATGAATGTCACTATCATTTTTCATGGTGCAGTGCTGTATATGTGAATGTAAAATTCTATTACACTTTCTTAAGTAACAGATAGATAGAGTTCCCCAGATGCATTTTGGAATGTATAAAAAAAAGAACAAAACATTTTTTTTTAAACTTGTAAACCATGTGGGGGTTTCTTCAGAGTTAATAACACGAAACATAGTAAAAAAACCCACAACTTAGATCTGTCTTGTGCTTGTTTGTGCTTGGCTTGGTTTTTATTGTTAACTATCCAGGAGAAGTATAAAATGTATGGGCTGTGTGACAATCTCACCATCTCCATTTCAAAAGGAACCATTCATAGAAGAAAAATCATCAATACTCATTACCTGTCAAGTACATAGTTAAGCTTTTAAGCCTTAAAAATTAATTGTACTTAATCCAAAGAGATTGGGTTTTTTTGTTAATGCTGCTGGTGGCATAAAGGGAGTTGAGATAGCTTTGACTTTCCTTTGTGAGAGCATTGGTAGCCAGGAGGAGTCTACAGAAAGTAGACAGGTATTACTGCTAGTTCCTGCTACAGCCTCCTTCTAGAGGTCTGCAGGCCTCTGGAGAAGATCAGGAGGGTGTCTGCATTGCAATAATCTCTAGCTCCTCACAGCTATGAAATGGTTTCTTAAATTAGAGTCCCACTCCGAGCCACCCTGTCCCCAGAGGTGGAGAACACGAAGCCTCTCTTCTGTTGCACAGGGGGAAGCACCTTAGCATAAGATTTGCTCTGTGAATATCCTGTTGAAAATGTGTGCTGTATTTGAACTGACTTAAAAAGAATACTAGCAGCTAGTGGCTAAAATGGTCTCTGTCAGCATTTATGTAAGGTGGGGAAGCAAAAGGGAATCTCCTGTAGAGTACTGTTTAGATCTTGTGCCTTTAAAAAATATCTCTTGATCTTTAGCACTACAAAAGCAAACCACCTTTAGCTCAAGTAAAAAGAGGACTGGATCTTTTTGTGTGACTAGACTGTTCTGCGCTCTGAGTATGCAGAAATTGGATTTAAATGTTTTAGCCTAAAGGGAGGTTCGTCATGTAAACTGACAGATACTTGTTTTCAAATCATGAAGGGCCTAAATATTTTGAGGCTTAAAAATTGCTGAATTAAAAAAAATGCGAAATTCAAGTTAATACCTTTGTATTAGCAGTGCCCTTTGTAATAAATAAATCTGATGCTTGCTTCTAGTTGTCATCCTGATACTGCAAATAAAGAATAATTATAGCTACCTTTACAGATGTTTTGTAAGTTCTAGCTGAAAAAATCTATTTAAAAGTCTAAATGTCTTCCAAGACTATTATTTCAGTTTCCTGTCATAGGATGACACTATAGGTCATATTAAAACATCAGTGTTTTTAAATATTGTTTTTCTGACTGTTGAAACTGCTGTCAGTGTACTTTCTGAATAACTAAAAAACAAATCATCCCATCCAGATATTTTTGAGGCAATTCTTTTGTGTTGGCACAGGTGTAATTTTAAAAGCCTGATCTAGCCCCCGAAGCCAGTAACACTTAATAGGTAACAATAATATAAAAAAAAATTTCCATAAAATATATTGAAGACGTGAGACCAGTAACCAGCAATTCTGATCACCTGGTTGTACTAATTGTCCTTACCGAAATGATGGTTTACACCTAGTTAAAAAGAATCTTTCCATTCTTTCCATGCCTGATGCATTTGCTGTCGTCTTGTGCTTGTGGATAAAGTTAACTTCATCTTTAAATGCCAAATACAAGGAGAACAGGAAATAGAGTTTGCAAAAGAAGGTAAAGGAAAATCCCCAAAATTATATTTTTGTCTCCCTTGAGCAATATCAAAATCCTCAGCCTTTTCTTCTGACTGCAGAAAATTTTCACTGTTAAATTTGAGATTTGGCCAATCGAGATTTAAGAAGCAATAGTAAGAGATTTCCATTCCAGTGGCTAAGTTTCTCAAAAAAAGTATGGAAGTTAAACATTATTTCTTCTATCTGTTTGCTTTCTGGCAGTGGAATGCAAGTTAAGCTAGTCAGTGGCCTTCTGACACATAGATGATTTAAAAGAAAAACATTTGAAAAATCCAGATTTCTACCAGAAGATAGGTGATGATTCTTCCTGTGATGTAGTCTCAGAGAAGTATTTTATATTTCCAGGGTGCAGCTTTAAAATAATGATAATTCCATAGCTTGCTTTTAAGAGTACTTTTATATTAAAGAAAGGGAAGACCAAACTTACTAGAGATGTACGGTATTCTAGCTGCTTCTGCCATGTCTGCTGCTGACTTGGCAAACTCAGTTTGTGAAACAACGATGTTGTAAATCTTAAAATCATAATAATTGTTATGGTTGCTGAGTAAGTAGGGCTTTGGCCCCATCCCTGTTAGTGGTTTGACCTCTGCCTGTCCTGTATGTAAACCCAGGGTTCTCAATTTGGCTTGTTTGCAGTTTTTACTTACAGTGTCTACTTAGAATCAGAGAATTGTTTAGGTTGGAAAAGACCTAAATATAAGATCATGAAGTGCAATCATAAACCTAACACTGCCAACTCTACCACTAAACCATGTCCTGAAGTGCCACATCTACAGGTCTTTTAAATACCTCCAGGGATGGTGACTCAACCACTTCCCTGGGAAGCCTGTTCCAATGCTTGACAACGGTTTGGTGAAGAAATTTTTCCTAATATCCAGTCTAAACCTCCCCTGGCACAACTGAAGGCCATTTCCTCTCGTTCTATCATTAGTTACTTGGGAGAAGAGACCAACACCCACGTCACCACAACCCCCTTTCAGGTAGTTGTAGAGAGCGATGAGGTCTCCCCTCAGCCTCCTCTTCTCCAAATTGAACAAGCCCCATTCCCTAGGCTGCTCCTCATAAGACTTGTGCTCCAGCCCCCTCACCAGCTTCGTTGCCCTTCTCTGGACACGCTCCAGCACCTCAACGTCCTTCTTGTAGTGAGAGGCCCAAAACTGAACACAGGACTTGAGTATGCTTGCACATATGTGACTGGTTTAGGTCCCTGGAACTTGGTGAGAGCAGTAGAGACTAGTTTTCAAACTGTAGTTTGTTCTTCACATTATACACTAAATAAGGGAATGGAAATGTAATCCAAGAAGACTTGTAGAAGCATTTCTCTTTTACTTTGGGTTCTGAACAGTCTGTCTTAATACAGATATTTCATAGTGCAGTGAGTGCATTTCCAAGTGGGAAACTGAAATGCTTGGTGTCCTTCTAAGCTAGGAAATGTGCATAAACCAAAACAGGCCCTCTCGCTACTAACAAATCCTGCAAGAGAATTGACTGTAGTGTATTTCAATAAACAGACTGCTACCAAGTAATTCCCAATGTGGTTATGTTAGCTCCACATCCTCACAATCCCATTAATTTTGTGAACTACTATTTTCTTCTTGTGTATTTATCTTCAGTTTCATACATGTGGTAAAAACCAGTTCTAATTGCAGAAGTATTACTACCTGCTAACATTTTCAACCCTGGAAGTGGCTGATGTTTCTTTGAGTGCAGGTAACTTATGTATGACATGGAAGAAACAATTAATTTAGAAGACCTAGAGAATGTACTCATACATGTGGAGATTCTGATGTAGAAGCCAGTCTTCTAAAACATGTTCTTTACAAGCTGTCTTATTTGGAAGGCTACACTTACTATAAAGGTTGCCAGCTCCTGCAGCCTTTCCAGTACCGACCAACCATTTGTCCCCAGCAGCTGGGTCTCACATCCTACCCTGGTACCAGTGTCACTCAATCTGGTGTGAAGAGCAGG